ATATATATATATATATATATATATATATATATATATATATATATATAATTCTATATGGGGGTGGGGGTGGGGGGTCAATGGGTAATGGGTATCAATAGATACAGATATAATATAGAAATATGTTAGTGGCATTAGCTTATGTATTATTGGGTGCCTACACTCTATCAAGATTAGAATTTTAGGATGATAACTTGTCATATTCCCACTACTATAAACTATAATATTAGTTATTTTTGTTTAAAACACGTTATTTTCGTCATTATGATATATATAATGAAATGAATAATCTTAAGATTGTATAATATCTCTAACTAAACATAGAATAAAATAAGATCTACCTTATATATCTACCTTATATAAAAAGATTTCTAAATATAATAGACCCACCATCACAATTTATAATCAAATGTCTCGTGTTTGAATTTTAAAAAAGAATTTCTTTTGATAAAGTATACTCTTATATCGTAATAAAGTTTGTCATTTGAATCTGAATTATCAAAAGACTTTAAAATAAATATTACATATGAAATAAGAAATAAAAATAAAAAATCAAATATATCTATGAATTATTAGAAATAGAGTAATTACGTACCCATTTGCTTTTTGACAATTGGCCTTATCACTAGCTAGGTAGAACAATTATCTCATTTGTTTTTGTTTTATTTTTATTTTGCATAAAAAGCAATTATCGTACGCTCTTATTTTTAGTATATATATATATATGCACATTTGTTAAATCGTAATACTAGAAATTTTATCTAGTCGTATAAATTTATCAAAAAACAAAGCATTCATTATTAGTCAAGTGAAAGCGTATACGTCCTTTTTATATCATATAAATTATTATTATCTTTATTTATTTATTGTTACATTTTAAGTAATCTGATTGTATAAATATTTTTATATCGAACTTCATTTATTTTCATTTTCTTGGCTATTCAACCCCCCACCCCATGGGAAATATGCTGTCCAAGTCACTCTCACTCAATTTTGTCATTGTTCATTGGGTCCTTAATGTGGGAACACAAATAGCCGCATGTTTCTAGTTGGCCTTTTGGAATTCAGACAATTATTCGAGGACAATATTCAAAAAAAAAAATACTTCTAAAATTATATTATCGTCAAAATATAGAGAGACGAGACGAGTTTAATATACACATGATAATTATAATTGTGATAGTGAATATTTACGAGCAAAGGGATGAAAAGTGTACATTCAAGGATAAATTAGTTTAGTAAGAACTAAAATTAGAACTTATTACCAACTAATGGACCAAATATATTTATTTACCATTATATATGTGTCTATTTTCTTTTTATTTATTATATTAATGAATTATTATGATTTGAGAGCGTGGATTACACGAAGATAATAGGCGCGTGAATATGGTAGGAAATATTTAAATGTTAGTTGTCAATTCGCGGGAAGATAAGTGACGGAAGCAAACTTTTTGTCGTTAATTACACCTACTCAAACGTAGAAAAATTATTTTTAAAAATAAAAAAATAAATTTGGATGATTGAATAAATAAATAAAATTTGAGGCTTGAAATTAATATATGTTATTCCAACGAAGGACTCTAAAATTGAGTTATTAAATATCGAGAGGTCATTTGATTTGTGAATACATTATACTTTGATTATATTATAAGATACTATAATATGAAATACGTGTTTGATTCTATGTGGCTTAATTGGTTGAATTATATAGGCTTCTAGATTATGAAGATATTATTCTTGTCTTTCAAGTGAATCTTTTTTATTTGTAAGATTATAAAGAATTAAGTTAATTTGTATAAAAGTGAGGAATAAAATTGCACTAGATAAGCATGGATAATTTTAATTGTTTTTTTTAACGTTGATTTCGTTTTTTAAAAAGATAAAAATCATATAAGCTTTGAAGGAGTCAAAATATACTATTTTTATTGTTTTACCACGATATTGTTACACATGGAGTATGCATAAAAATAATATCACAATTGCGATATAAATAATTATGAAATTGTTTATACTGAATTTAAAATAATTATATGTTTTATCCTAAAATTATTATCCCTTATTCGTATAATTATTAACCAAATGAAGAATAAATGAATAATTGCACCAATCATTATATAATAAAAAAAAGAATTCTTCTTAGTGGGGTTATGACTTTGGAGAAGGAAAACTTGTTTACGCGACGGAATATTAAGAAAATTAATTAATGAAAAAGTTATTATATATGACTTACTTTAGGACATTGAAGTCGTCGTTTGATAATTATGGTATAGTAAAATTAAATACATGAAAATAATTAAGAAATTTCAGATGACGTAATATTGAAATTTTAGGATTGTTTAATGGGCGATTCTAACAGTATGTCTGGATCATTGTTATCCATTGTATTTGTACTGTATTGTTACATACCCATTTTATGGAACAACAAATTTGATGTGTTTTTATTGTTACTTAATTTCTTTTTCGGTTATAGCTTTACATAATATTTTAAAATACTATTTTACCCTTTACCTTAATTATTTAAATATAGTCAAACATTCTACCCTAGAATAATTAAGGATATTTAAATAAATTTATAAATTATAATATATACAATCAAATCAAACAATTAAAATGTTACTAAACAATAACAAACAATACAATTTAACCAAACATTGTATCTATCATACAATAGATACAATAGAGTACAATACAATATAATACATTATGAGACAATGGATAACAATGATCCAAACAAAGTGTAACTAATAATTTAAAAACAAGGAAAAAGAAATGTAATTTCTCCCTCCTTTTCAATGATTTTACTTTCCTTTGTCCGTTTTTAAAATGTCATTTTCAATATCAAGAATGTCAGATTTTAAGTGTAATTTTTTAAAATCTATATTATACATGTATTTAGTATAGTAAGTAAGATTACAAGTGTAAAAATTCTTTTTATACTTTTAAACATACTACCCAATCACATAATTAAGACACATAAAATAAATCAAAGAGATTAATATATTTGAAGAAGAAAATAATGAGAACTCCATTTTAATGTTAGGATCGAATTCACACACGCACTTGATTAATTAAGAAAACAAGAACTTTCAAGAGAAAGAGATGAGAGATCTAGAGAGAGAAATAGAGAAATCAATATTTTGTGGTAACGCCCCGTGAGTAAACTTTTCGGCGGTGGGGTATATATATTAATAAATCAGAGTATTTTTTATTATGGAAAATAAATAGTACACCCTAAAATTTAAGATGGGGGGCTCCCTTCCCCCATAACCCCTTGGCAACCTCACCGCGAAGGTTAAAACGCGTAAACAGTTATATATATTAATCAAACTCCACAACCTAACATTTTATTCATCAGGTCTTCATAAATTTGTTGACAGGATGTTTCGAATTTTATATTAAAAATAAAGGAAAAGAAAATTAACCCCAAGAAGAAAAATGACAACATGTATTCTAAGATATTGCGATCATAGTTGTCAAATAACAAAGTTAATTATTAATGTATGTGAAATTATAAAGAACTTTCAAATTATTACTACAAATATGATGTCAACGTCTTCATGCACTTACAAAGTATTTTTGTTTTTCAGTGCACATCAAATATCCAAGGTGAACAATCTTTGATTAATAAAATATGTAGGCAAGGAAAATCTTAATTCAAAATTAATTCGAACATCATAAACAATTATTTTAATTAAAATCAAACATTACAATAATCTCAACGTGTTATGCTCTAGAATGTCATGTTGCACTCACAAAGTAAAGTACATAAAAGTGATTATTTTTTTACGCATTAAAAAACTTTCAGATTAGTAATTAATTACTATGAGTCAAAGCAATTATTTCATTATGTGATTATATTTAGATTGTAATTAATGGTGAAGTGCAAACCTCCATTAATTTAGGCATTTAGCTAGCTAGGTTAGGTTACAAGACTTCACATATATACAATATAATGTTTTCTATGATATTAAGTCAATTTTTATTAGGTTTTTTTCCAATGAATATGTGACTTTTTCTCTTGCAACTATTTTAGGATAGGGAAGAAATAATCATCAATTTCGGATTCTTAAAATAAAATATTCAACTAGCGCATGCATAATAGTTTAAAAATTAGTTATGGGGATATTATAATATAAAAATAATTAATTGGCATATGTATTAATAATAAAGAAATTAATTAATAAGTGATAATTAATAATGAAGAAATCAATTGTTATGTGATGATTAATGATGAATAAACTCTTTGTCATATAAGAGTAAGCTACTCCAGAACATTTTTGTTTTTAAATAATTTATTTATCATCACATTAATACAATACACATATTCTTATTACATATTTCTTTAAAACAAAATTAAATGTATAAATTTTATCATAACTACCACATATTTATATAATTATTAGGTACAACTATCTAAAT